CTCCAACACGACGACCGTGAGGAGTACCAAAAACTCCACTGCATTAAGGACAACTGAGGCAGGCAGACCATAACTGCTGAAACTGGAGGAAAGCCAAACGACCCAGAGCTAGCTCTGCTAACACTAAAGAACTGAAGGGTTTTAACCAACGACAACAAATGGTCATTGCCATAGCTACACTACATGGGAAAGACAATGCCTTCAAGCCCTCCATACAGATAGAGATGCCCTGAGGCAACCCCTTGCAGTCTTTTCACCACCTCTCCCCGCAACCCTATTCACTTATTCACTTTGTGGGACCTGTGAAGTCTGCCCTCAGAAAAGGGCTGACCCAGACAACTGAAAGGATAAGAAAACTCTCTTACTACCATTTTAACCTAGCTTCTTGTGCCTAGATATGCCAGATTTTTACTCAGCTTCTTAGCATTTCTTAGACCTTGTATGCAAAAGAAGTGATTTAAGAACAAGTGAATTTCAGCTCTGAACTCCCCGCTTCCTGTGCGTTTAAAACCAAAGATGTTTAAAACAATCTTTTTGGAGGTACAAAATAAGCATCCAAAAGAACTGAAGGGTTTTAACCAACGACAACAAATGGTCATTGCCATAGCTACACTACATGGGAAAGACAATGCCTTCAAGCCCTCCATACAGATAGAGATGCCCTGAGGCAACCCCTTGCAGTCTTTCCACCACCTCTCCCCGCAACCCTATTCACTTATCTTTGTGGGACCTGTGAAGTCTGCCCTCAGAAAAGGGCTGACCCAGACAACTGAAAGGATAAGAAAACTCTCTTACTACCATTTTAACCTAGCTTCTTGTGCCTAGATATGCCAGATTTTTACTCAGCTTCTTAGCATTTCTTAGACCTTGTATGCAAAAGAAGTGATTTAAGAACAAGTGAATTTCAGCTCTGAACTCCCCGCTTCCTGTGCGTTTAAAACCAAAGATGTTTAAAACAATCTTTTTGGAGGTACAAAATAAGCATCCAATCCAGCTTTCTGATTTCACACACACACACACTACATAGTAATGAGATTCTACAGAGTCTAAACATAAAAATGACCCGAAAAACGCACTGCTGGCATGGAAATTGTTTTTCTTCTCCAATAAAATTTTTGAGATTTAAATCTTCTCCGTATCAGAACAAAAAATTAAAACCTGTAACCTTCATGAAATGAAAATCAGAAAAATATCAAAGGTTTCATTAAAAAACAAGAGAGCACAGGCTCGTTGTTAACATAAAGTTAATTAAGTACTTAAAGGCCTTAAGCAGTGGTAAAGTCCTGATTTAAACTGGGAGATGGTTAAGGCTGTGCAAAGTGAGGACTCTGGAAGAACCTGTCATCCTCTCATACTGTGCAATATAGCTTTGACAGACACTTCATTTTACCGAATACAGTCACTGAATGAAAAATCCTAACCCCAAACAAAGGATTTTACTTAAAGGCCTTAAGCAGTGGTAAAGTCCTGATTTAAACTGGGAGATGGTTAAGGCTGTGCAAAGTGAGGACTCTGGAAGAACCTGTCATCCTCTCATACTGTGCAATATAGCTTTGACAGACACTTCATTTTACCGAATACAGTCACTGAATGAAAAATCCTAACCCCAAACTTATCTCAAAGGATTTGGGGGGGAAGAAAAAAAAAAAATCCAAGACTTGAAACAAACACTTTGTTGAAACACTACAAAGGCTCAAGAGCTATGAACTTGATTTATATATGAGAAGAGAAATACAAACAGGGTAAGCTTCCCACTGACAAGTTAAGTTATTACAGGCATGCTGCTTAACATACGCAGGGTCACCCACCTGAAATGTTAGCTAGCAGCAGTATCACCTTTCCTTTGGAGATGGTTCAGGTTGATACAAATGAGAGACAGGAACACAGGGGGAAATAATGAGGGAAATAAAAGTTCTTTCAAAAGTCAGTGCAAAATCATCATTCTAGATGCACCGATAAGAAACACAACTTCTGAAACAATCCGAACAGAGGTAAGGTTGCTTTTTCAATGAACAAAAAAAATTGAAAGTTATCTTTGCCCAAATGTAGTTAGAGGAAATGGGGGAGGAAAGCATAGCATTAAAGGCAGCAAACAAAACACAGCAAACTGTGGGCCACTAGCCAGCCTGATCTTTTGTTGCCTTGTCCCTGCCCTACCTCTCCCCTCCTTTCTATCCCCCTTCAACATTTCCAATCAGGGAAGGGGTATATCCTTCCCCGTCCTCCACCTTTCCTGAACCTGCTCTAGTCCAACACATGGGCAAGAATCTCCTTTTGCTTTGGTTCTCAAATTTCACTATCACATCCAGTCTCTCCTCCCAGAGCTTTTCACCCGGAGGAATACAGTCTGCATGACTGCATTTGATAATACAGACTCTGCTGCTTAAATACCATACATTTGCAGACAGTTAAAGCATGTTTTACAAAGGTACCATAAAGGAGTTTAGCAACATGCATTTCCTGGGCACGCAAGTCGCTGCAGCAGCTGGAAAGGGACCCTGTCCAACACAGGGACAGTTTCCCTCTCCTCGCAAGGACGGAAAGGAGCGCACGGAGACAAGGTGTTTGTGCTGGAGCCGTTCCCAAACCACGGTTTCGGAGGGACGATCCATCTGACATGTTGCAACTCGGGAAGCAGATGCAGGGGAAGGAGGAGGGCAGCAGCAGGCAGGGAATCCCCTCCAAATTTCCAGTGCCGTGCACGAGGGACAGACAGATGCATCCAGCCAGAGAGAAATGGCAGCGGGCTGTGCACAGCCTCTCAGTTGACCCTACGAATTGAGCAGAGGCACTTGTCTCCGCTGCACATCACTGCGTAAGACGCGTGCTCGGAGGGAGGCAATAACAACAACTGATGCCCACGATCCTGCAAAACAGCTTGCAAGGCTTGTGCTTCCCTCAGCCCCCAACCCAGGGAGTTTGAAGGCATTCAGAAACTGTACAAAAACTCAGCTGGAGCTACGAATCTTAATAGCGGCTTTCCTCCACACCTGCAGCTCAGCCAAGCCTCCCACATCTCAGTGTGCCCCAAAAGTCTGTGTTTCAAAGGAATTTTACAGAGCCTTCACTTGTCTGGGAGAAAACAGGTTCAGAGGCCACAAGGCAGCTTCTGCGGGCTCCTCCTCTCAGCATGCTGCAGCATCAGTGGCAGAGGCAATGCCTGCCTGCAACAGCACAGGCAGCTGCATTATTTAGTCTGGCACCAAGGAGAAAAGCTATCATCCATTTTTAAGTTAGATTCAGGGAACCAGCTGGGGACCAGCGACTGCCATTTCTGAAGTGCAAGAAGAGCGTAACCAGCCTTTCCACAGTAACAAAGATTAGCGGCCTGGAGTCTGACACTCCTCCTCCATTAAAAGATAGGAGACAAAGCGATAGACAGATAATTACATAGAAGGAGCCCTGGGGAAATTGCAAACTCCTTGAGAACCCTTTAGCTGGTCTTTATGTTTCTCCTCGTCTCTGCTTCAGCTGAAGGTCTCCAAGAAACATTTGCCCATTAGGTCATTAGCTTTATTGCAGAAGGTAGCCAGGCAGCTGGTAGACTTAGCTTGCCTCTGCGCCATCAAGAATGAGATGGGGAACATCCCAAGGCACATTACCTGTCTGCAGCTTATCCTTGATAAGTTAGCGTACTTAGTCAGTCTGAGGGGTCTGACAAACGAACTCTGACAAATCTCACTGGGGCAATTTAAGACATTATTGCATCGCACTGCCTTCCCAAACCCTTCACAAAGGTTAGCACCACAGAGCAAATCTGGCAGAAAAATTTGTATCACGCATTGGCCTCCCCAAATGAGAGCCTAGCAAGTTAGCATAAACCCGTTCTCAGAGCTGGTTTAAGTTAAGACATCAACTGTGAACTGGAATGGCTGAGGTCTAGACAGGAGATATTGCCTCCACTACAAGGAGCATTAACGTTTATCACAAAGATGGAATGGGAAATGACATCTCAAAGCACTGCAGCCAGTTCCTAAGCAAATACAAATCTAAACACTGAGTTTTGGTACTAAAATACATATGCAATTTGTCTAGCAAATGACTTGAGTCTACTCATGCAGCTCAGGATGCTCTATGAATCACAGCACTAATTTTTTGTACTTTATATATCCTGACACATAAATTGAATGTCTTGAAGTGGAAAGACAGACATGGATTACAGGTGGATCACATGTAGTTATCAGGAGATAACTACAAAATTTAATTGCTTAGAAGTATTACAAAAAAGGCACTACATTTGAACTCTCACCCACCACATTTTGCACTTCTGCCCAAAACTAAAAAAAAGTCTGGAGAGATAAGGAATTGCTATCTGTTTCCAACTCTTCACAAAACACACCATTCAGAGCTAGAGCTGGGGTTCCAGCTGGTTCCTATCTTATCTGCCAGTGGTACAACCAGCCATGAAACTATGAAGGACCCCAGAGAAGACAATCAGGTTTTTAATTAAAAAACAAAAAAAAACCCACAAAACAAAAAACACCCAACACAAAACAACACAACTAAACAACCGAAAACAAAAAAAAACCCACAAAACAAAAAACATCCAACACAAAACAACACAACTAAACAACCAAAAATCTGTATTTATCTGATTAGATGTACATGTGTCTCAAAAAGTGCTTCTTTTATTATTATCATACAATTCTTCCACTTGGCTTCTCCAGACCTAACTCAATGTCTGTTCATCTAAGCTGATATTCAGACAAAGATTTAGTTCATCAGTCTGCAATGTAACAGTTACATAATTTTTTCTCTGCAAGCATTTAAAATGTATCTTGTCTTCTAGTTTTTCCCAAGGGACTGTATCCTGCACATAGAAGTAGAGTGAGAAGCACACGAAGCTTCTGTTTGCGTCACACTGTTAGAAGGGCAATCCACACTAACCAGAAGACTTGTCTAAACTCTAAGTAGACAAGCTTCTTCTAAAATCACCCTCATTTCCAGAAGGAGCTGAGCAGGCAAGACACCTCAAAAAGCAGATAACAATTACCTCTTACCTTTCTGAAGAGGCCGCCGCCAATTAGCGCATTCCTGGAGCTTCTAATTCAGGCAAGAAGAAAGGAGAGGGAAAAAAAAGAAAAAAAAAAAAGAAGGAGCAGGGAGCCGTTTTCTTCCTCAGCACAACAGTATTTCCTAAGGGGTGGAAAAAAAGAAGAAAAAAGAAACAAGTAAATGTTAGCTTTCATGCTTTTTGAAGAGGCTACAGATTACAACTCCTCCTTGGAAGTTGTGCGTCTCCTTCTCCAGTTCCAAAATACCAACCTGACCTGTCCTTTATTTTCTCCTTCTATCATCACCTTATCAAAATATGGAATGTGAAGGTCAAGTCACCCTCTGCTAAGAAAAACTAAGATGGAGTCATGTCAGAACGGCATGAAGTTCCACACTAGAATGGGATAAACTCCAATTTAAAAATATTCTTGAGCACTCACTCTATTAAGTAAACATGCTTCAGCCAAGCTCACACCCACTTCGGTAAAAATTCAAATGAGCCACATTTACTATCAAACTAGTTGGCAAAAGGCAAATTACAACATGCATACTGAACATACAGGTATATAGTGACATTCAAGTGCTTGTGTACTCTTCCCTGCAAGGATCATACCTAGAATTATGAAGTACATGCAACTAATCATAACTTCTATTTCTTTTTAAGACAACTACTCTTTTTCTTAAGACAATCTATTTTCTTAAGACAACCTATTCCAGCTATATTGAATCTTTCAGTAACAATAAGATTTAAAAAAAAAAAAAAGTATCAGAATGAAGGGAAGGGGAACCAAAAAGCCTTTTTGTGACTAAAGATACCATTTAGAAATCCAGCTTCACTCCCATAAAACCACAATCCCTCACCTCAGACCATCTCTCTCTCTCTCTCTGCCTTACTCCTAACATGAATTTCAAGAGACTTACACAGACACCCAGTTTAATGGGCCCCTCCCTACCTCCAGTACCTGCCTCTGATGAAAGGCAGGAAAATCAAGTGGAAATTTTTTTTAAAGGGTGCATGCAAGACATTAACATATTTGAGGAAACGGCAATTAACGTTTTCCATGGGGAATGAGCAAAGGGAAACACATCCAGTCTGTTCTCCATCACATTTTTTTGGCTTATATTCATACAGAAAACGCTACCCTTTTCTGTCCCATGAAAAACCTGAATGCAAGTTCCCAAAATAAGGAAAAAAGTCTATGCTACCTTACATTTCCCCACACGCCTCTATTGTCCCTCAAAAAGATAATTATCCCATCTGCTAACAGCATGCAAATGCATACGGATCCTAGTCTCCCGAAAGATATTTTATACAAGGGGCCCCAACAGATAGGAAACAACATAAAAGACAGCACTCCCATCACAGCATCTCCCTCAAAGTCGACCATGTCTGTCCAATTCTAAATGGCCACAGTTCCTGCATTTCTCTAGGGGACAAAAGCTCTCTTCTTCTCTCCTCCCGTCAGCAAGACTTAAAGCTGCAAGAAAAATTCTGTCCAGATTCCCCTCTAGATAGGCAATGATTTAAAGAATTCATGAAGTAACAGTGACAGTGTAAATAAACAATGAAAAACTAAATAAAGATCACAAAAGACACACAGAAAATGTGCACTAAGGAGAGAAAGAACAAGATCAGTGATTCAAAACCTCTTCTGCCTTGTTACGTTCACCCATAAATAGGCCTAGCAATAATCTGATAACGCAAAAGAATGGATCCTGACACAAAAATGTACCTGCTCAAAAACGTGCCTCCCCAACCTGTTCTCTAAAGGCAAGCCTTCCCACATTGTTTAATTCCACTTTTTTTCAATGTCTTACACCCCTCGGTCACATTTCTGCTTTCTGTCAGATTTCAGCCCTCTTGTACTAATTGATGCAAAGCAACTTAAGCCAACACCTGGAGTACTCAAATTGCTATACTTTTTAAAAAGAGGGAAACGGTGCTACAGCCCTCATTGTGGGAACGGGAGAAGAAATGACCCTCAATGAACTGCTCCCGACATGTGTACATCCCGAGGCTATGCGCTAATCAATACTTACTGAGCAGCTCAGCACAGACCAGGTTGCAAAATACAAGAAAAAAAAATTTGTATCCCCCTCTCAACCACACACTAGTTTTGTATCCCTAAATCAAACGCACCACTTGCTTTTCTTTTTCATTATTAAATCAAAAGGATGCTTTAGACAGCATTTTTCTCCCTGCTAAGAGAAACCCCCCACATATGTCAGGTGCAGTCAGCTAAGAATTGATATACTGGTTACATTTCAAGTGCTTAGAAATTTTACACTTTCATCCTCTTACTGGTAGGAGAAATAATTTAAAGCAGACATACAAGATTTGGAAGAAGCATATTTTTAATCAAACATAAAATCAAGAGGTGGCAAAAAAGAAGGCTGAGTGCAAAAACCTAAAGTTTATTAACAACATTCTCTGGGAGACAGAAATCTGTCCTAAGTACCACTTAGGGATGTAGCTTTGACTCAACATCACCTGCCCCAAAGAAAGTGAGACTGCTCCGTTCTCAAATCCTCAGGCAAGGGGGGAAAAAAAAAAAAGAAAAAAATAGTAGTGAAATAATGCATTACCCAAAAGTCAAATTCTAAGTGGAAAAACCTAGCGAAATGACTTACAATACCAAAAGACTTGATTAAATTTCTGGCAGGGCCAGAGATAATTTGTGTAAGAAAAATGTCAAAATGTTTTGGGTATACAGCCACTACAGGAAGGAAACAAACAGAAAACTGGGAAACACTGTATCAAAACCCAAGGAATCGTTGACATCAACATTAGATAAATGAAGAGGCATATGTTAAGACAAACACCCTCAGATGGTGTGTGACTCAACTTCTGCAGTGGATTTAGCCTAGTTGCTTTCCTACATCAAGCTTAATAAAAATAATCCTCAATTCCACCAGCTAGAGCTGGGTTTTCATTCGATCTCACACTATGCACGCTGATTCTGGCCAGTACCTGAGCTGACGACTGAAACCTGGACCAGGGATTCTGAAATGTGATCTTGACTAAAAATTAATCCTTCTTTCTGGAGGATCAGTGCCAGATTTATTCCTCCAGCTGCACAATGAAAATACAGTGGTTTTTTTAAGGTGTTACCCAAATCCAACCCACTTCCCACTGTTAAACGGAAAGATTCTGCGCGACAGTTGCCAGGCTCTAGTTTGTAATTTAATTGATCCAGAGACTTTTTAAGTTCAGAAAATAAAAAGTTTTGGGAAAGTAACTCCCCTCACTTCCAGTCTGCATTGCACAACTGGCAAAGAGCTTGCTCACCTTATCCTGTCTGACCCTTGCCAGGAGCCCCCATCAGCCCTTTGGGGAACTGCTCTGTTAAAGGGAGCCTCCATTACACACAAGCAACCTGGAAGATTTTCTAGTTTATTAGATGTTCTAGCTCTATGATGTTTGTTACTTCCATTAGAACAAGAACTAGAGAAAGGAATTAGATCAGAGCGCTGCTGTACGTAACAGCCCCCTCCCCAAACCGTGTTCACAACATTGAACGCTGCTCTGCTTTAAGTGGAGGGGGAGTACCTCATCACCACCACACACAATTTATAAGGGCAAAAAAAGGGGAAAAAAAAAAAAAAAAAAAAAAAAAGCGTTCTCAAGGTTCTTCAGTCTACGTTTAACAAACAGCTACTTTTCTTCAGGTGAATTGTAAGCGTACTCAGTGTGCACTAACAGAAATAGGTCAAGCTTGTATCGTAGTAAAAAATTATTTTTGTTTTTTTTCCTGTTTATTTTTCAACCTCTCGATCTAGGAGGAGATGTAATAAAATAACTATTCCATGAATATCTATTGAGGGAAAAAGTAATCTCAATTTCTCATTGTAAAAAACAAACGAGCAAGTTAAAAAAAGATTATAAAAATACCTAACCTTAACCATCATGATGAAACAGAAAAGAAGACCTTTTTCCGGATATATTCTTGTATGACCTGTAGTTAAAATGTTTCTCAGAACAGTACCGTAAGTCTCTCTCACATACCTTACTAAAATATATTAGTCTATAGTCTCTCTGCCACTAATGGCAGCGGCATCTCCCAAGTATTTTGGGCACCCTCCCCTAAGTCTCAGGGCAGGACTCTAAACCCCGTGTTTTGAAGCCAGGAACCTCACCTCCCCCTGTGGCAGGTTCCTTCTCCAGTCTACTTTCTAATAGCTACAGTTTGGACAGAGTCAGTATGAAATGAAACGTGCATGTAACATAGCACTTACCTACAGCAACATAAAGAGAACAAGCTAGAAATGAACAAATTCTCATTTAATTTAGTATGAATTAAAAGCATATCCCTATTATCCATGCATATATGTGTGTGTGCAAGCGTATACATGTCTGTATACACAGAACAGGGCAAGCACTTCCACCACAAACACCTGTACTGGAGGCATTTGTGAAGAAACAAGCTTCTTCAAACATAAATACTATTTTCCCAGAACTGTATCTGCACAAAGACAGGAAGCTGTTCTCAAGTATCTATTACAAATAGCCACAAAAAAGTTATCAAAATATTGTTGCAGAAGCACAGACAAAGGATAAAAACATGGCAAGAGTGAATCAAAACACAGATCTTCTAAATAAATTTTCCTTTGATTTGCACAGGTCTTAGTGAACTCATGGGATCTACCCATCAATAGACGTCTAAATGTACGACACTGCGCTTTACTCACGTGAAATATAGTTCCTAAACAAGAAGCATAATTTTTATTCATTTCAACCACCTTTATTCGAATGCCAGATGTATTATATTTCTATATCTTTATTTAGAGGTGTTTACACAACTCTCTTTTGCAGCTTAAATGTTATACCTATCTGTATTTCCCCATCTGCTTTCTTTGGATCCTGAAAAAAGCTCTTCCCAAAATGACATTTGTCCATGTGAAAATCTAAGTTTACAGAAGCACTCTTCATATGCATGCATTTAGATAACATGCTTATTAAAACATTACCAACCTATGCATGACATTTACTTACCAGTCGAACTGCAACGACCACCAATAATGAAAAAAAGATGTAATTTTCTCTTAACCACCAAAAAAAAGGTACATACCTAGCACAAGTTAAGATTTTATAGCCCATATTTTGTATGCAAAGCCTTGAGGACCAAACCCAGAGC